AGGCAAGGGAACACCACAAAGCTTACGCATGCTGCCACTTTGGTAGGAGACATATAATATCAGCTACTAGAACTTCCATTCTGCATTGGAGACCACTGACTGTCCACTAAAGCCAGTCCTCCCCCTCTTTCATTGTAGCTGAGCGCACAACAGGTCAGCAGAAGAGTTCATTCACAGCCTCCCAGATGTGGCTGACCACACCCTCACCAGTGGAATAATGTGGGATGTGATGGATTCCTGGTCTGGGGCTGAAGGCATCGACATGCACTCCTCTATTCTCCTGGCCTTCCTATAACCTGGAATGCAGACATGCCTTTGACAGGCATGGGCTCACAGAAGAGGATAACCCAACGCCATGAAAGGAATCTGTGATCTGGAGTGCCCACATGGAGCAAAGCTAACCTGAAGTAAGAGAAAAATAACTTTCTATTCATTTCAACGATTGTGTTTTTGAGCCTCTTTGTAACTGTAGCCTTAGCTTTCACTCTTACTACCACACATTATAACATCTGAAATTAAGGTTTTAGCATGGATCTAAAGTGCCCTCAACTGATACCTGTTTTCTCTGTTTAATATAAATCTTCCCTGATTTCTAGAGGTATTCTGTTATAAGGGCAATAATATAATGGTTGTTTCCTGAGAGTTTATACAAGACATGTTCACAAATTAAAAGAAGGAACATCATATTTTTCCCCTTGCTTCTTTAATAAATGTGCTTGCTTTAATAAATTGGCTTTATCACAACATAACCAGTCTCTCATTTAAATTCATTCATATGAGAAGACAAGAACCCAGGTGAGGCCAGCCCTCCCCCTCTGACTCAGGGAGCTCTCTGGTAATACCTTTAAGGTGTCTGTGAGAGGTACCAATAACAACGAGGGTGAGCCCTAATCCAGTATAACTGGTGTTCTCAGAAGAAGAGAATATTAGAATGTAGACATACAGAGAAAACCAGGTGAAAACACAGGAAAAGATAGCTACTGGTATGTGCAAGATAAGGAGAGAAGCTTCAGAAGAAACCAACTTTGCCAACAATATTGATCTTACTTCTTGCCTTCAGGACTGTGGAACAATAAACTTGTGTTGTTGAAGCCACACAGGCTGTGCTACTTTGTCGTGGCAGCCTTAGAAGACTAATACAGGTGCTAAATGTCAAGCATTTTTCTCTGAAGTCAGAACCAAGGAGGCATTCTTTGGTATGGTTCTCTAACAAAACAAAACAAATCAGTTCTATATGATTTCTACTTATTCAAATATGTGAATAATGAGAATAAAGCAAGAATGTGTTCATGCTTTGATTATATCTGAACTTTCAAAACAATTCTAAACCTTACCCAAAATAAGTTTGGCTCCATGCCCTACGTTATATTCAAAAGTGAACTCACGATAAAAGACCTAACTGTAAAAAATACAAAGCTAATAAAATAAAATGTAGAAGGAAGTCAGTTTTTCAGCCTATGAGTGGATGAAGACTTTTGAACATGAAGCTAAATCTTCAAATCACAATGTCAAAATTGAAGATGTCTGGTTCACTCGTGTGTAGGTGTTTCTGGGGAAACCATAGTCTCCAGGCTTTGGTGAAAGGGAAAATGCCAGAGGGGAGCTGGCTTTTATAGACAGAAGTCCCCATCCTTGGTCCTTGATTGGTCCATCTTCCTGTAAATGAGGACTCCAAATCCTCAAAATTTTATTGGTCCAAGAGGCATGTTCTAATTGGTCAGAGCTGCACAGCTCCCATTGGATTGGGAAAACCTCAGTCCTATTGATTGAAATAGGATTCCGGGAACTCCTTTATAAGGGTTGGCTCAGATGGCAGAAACGCAGTGCAGGCAGGCAATTCAGTGCAAAAGCAAATAGGTCAGTGCAGGCTGTTCCCTGAAGTGCACTTTGCGTGAGAACCCCTAGGTAGAAATAGCTGCTAGGTCTGTCTGTTTTGTTTAAAAATATATTTTATTGATTTTTTTACAAAGAGGAAGGGAGAGGGATAGAGAGTTAGAAACATGGGTGAGAGAGAAACATCAACCAGCTGCCTCTTGCACACTCCCCACCAGAATCGAACCTGGGACCCTTGAGTCCACAGACCAACACTCTGTCCACTGAGCCAAGTTGGTTAGGGCTGTTTTGTTTTTAATTCGAGATCAGTTAGTAACCAGAGCCCTTCTTAGTAGGTACCTTATTTCTCAGGGTTCAGAATGGATACCCTAGAAAAAGTGAACAGACAGCCTAGCGAAAATATCTGTAACATCTACAGGCAAAGGACATTAATATCTAGACTATCCTCGGCTCAAAAAATCAAAACATAATAAAAAACTTATGCAAATCAACAAGAAAATAATGCAATACCCGATAGGAAAATGAGCAAAAGATACAAACAGGTAAATCTCAGTAAAGGGCCAGATGTCAAAACAAGCAGATGAAGAAAAGCTCAAACACCATTAGCAACAAAAATGCTGAAAGTTTAAACACATCAGTATTCCACATTGTCTATTAGAATTGCAAAAACGAGAACACTGGATAATATCAAGTGTTGCAGAGAACATAGGAATGACAAAAACTATTCGATTCTGTTGCAGGGAATATGAACTAGTCCATTAGTTCTGGAAAGCAGAATACCAAGAGAATCCCCCTGTTAGTATTCTTGGAAGGTTGTTTCCAGGAACCCCACAGATACCAAATTCTGCAGAAGCTCAAGTCCCCTGTAGAAAATGGTGTAGATCAATGCGTAGAGTCGACCCTCCACATCTGCAGATACCCAACCGTGGAGCAAAAATACTATTTTCGTTCTGCAGTTGGTTGACTCTTCAAACACTAAACCCGGGGATACTGAGGGCTGACTGTATATGTACTGGAAAAAAAAAAAATCCACATAGAAGTGGACCCAAGCAGTTCAAACCTTGCTGTTTAAGGATTAACTATATAAATTTAGCATATTGTGGTGATTACCTTATGGAGGAAAAGAAAGAAAAGCAGGGGGGGGGGGGCGGGGGAGGAATAGGGTTTAAGAAAAAATAAAAATAAAATAGGGTCTTGCATGCACTGATGATGCTATACTGAAAATCAAGGAGCATAATTAGCTTAGTTCTGCATCTGAGATTTAAAGACACACACACACACACCATACCCCATCCCCCACCCCAAGTTGCTCCTGAATTTATTTCAGCACATTATTCTACAAGCCACATCTGCAATGGGAAATGCTAGTAAAACTGTCAGATCTCATTAAACTCTCCTGGTTACACTGTCTCAAGTGGTTCACAACCAGGGGCCGTTTGGTCTCTCCTCTCCCGCGAGGGACATTTGCTGTTGGCAATTTGTTACCCCGCGGGAGAGGGGTGCTCCTGGCATCTACTGGATAGGGGCCAGGACAGGGCTGCGCTTGCCACATGGACCAGGCCCACCACCCCCGACAAAGAAGCAGAGCTGAGGTTGGGAACCCCATGCCATCTCTCTGAGTTGCCCATTCTGAGGGGTGCGGGAGGGGCTGCCCTGCACTCGACCTAAAGCTCCTCTGTTCGGTCCCATCTCACTCTTCCATCAGCCCCTTCCGCTCCTCTTTCATTTCCGCTCAAGCGCAGTCTACTGTGCATGAGCCTCCCTCCCGCTGGTGGAAGGCGTCATTCATCTACTTAAATATCAGATTCCAATTGCTCCTGAAAAGACTGTGAATGGAATCAACTGACAGTAAGCCTTTAACAAGGAAAGGCAATTGCTAAGATGCCTCTCACTCCTCTTCCTTTTCTCTCTCATCAGTGGCTCCTCCACACACCCATCTGTTCAAATAGGACGAGAATCCAATTTAAGGTTCACTGGGGGCCTCTACTAAATAGTCGTGAACTTGGTGAAGCAGATAAGGGTCCCAGGACAGCTAGAAAGAACAAACTAAACAAGGGGGGGGGGGGGGTGTCAGACGCAGACTGCGGGATGGCAGCCACAGAGGGACAAGCTTGTGCGCGGTGGGGGGTTGGGAAGACTGAGCTTCAGCAACTGGGGGGTTGGGCTAGGGCCTCCCCGAAACAGCAGCAGAGAAAGAGGAACAGAGAGGGAAGCCTCCTGACTTTTCAACCGAACCCCACAATTCTCTGAGCCGCAGAATGGGCCTAACGCATCCCAGGTGAGACGGAAGTTTAAACGAAAGGATGATTTTTCAGAGAATGGAGACTATTTAACATTGAAGTTGAACGTGGTGGATGTCCTGCTCTGTTGAACTTTGCTTCTTTTCTTTCTTTCTTTTTTTTAAGGGGCTTGAGTATACGGTATTATAATCCAATTTAAGGATCAGACTACAGTTTTCATGTATTTCCCTGAGGTTGTGTCGATTACCTTGTCCCCAGGGCACTCACATGCCTCCTGGGTGCTGTTGACGTTTTGGCCCTTCAAAATACTTTGGTTTTTGTCCTTTATGTTGATAGTTGTGATGGCGGTTTTTTGTTTGTTCTGTTTCCTTTTTGCTTAAAAAGAAAGAAAGAAAGAAAGAAAGAAAGAAAGAAAGAAAGAAAGAAAGAAAGAAAGAAAGAAAGAAAGAGAGAGAGAGAGAGAGAGAGAGAGAGAGAGAGAGAGAGGGAGGGAGGGAGGGAGGGAGGGAGGGAGGGAGGGAGGGAGGGAGGGAGGAAGGAAGGAAGGAAGGAAGGAAGGAAGGAAGGAAGGAAGGAAGGAAGGAAGGAAGACTAGTTTGGAAAATGTCTGGAGAGACATTATTCTCTCCAATTTTAGTCCTAGTAGTAGGAATATGAATGTTTACTTCTCAATGCGGTCTTTTTTCTTCTCCAGATTTCTTTTTTTAATTTCTTATGAAATATTTGGACTTGAATTCGTTTTCATAAAAGAAAAAAAAGTCAACAGAGAACGGGGGAAGGAAATATTGGGCCCATGTGCACGTTACATTAAACTGTGTCCCCACTCCAGCTCCCCAGACATTAAATGATCCCATCCCGTCCTTTAGAAATCACACTCCTGTCTCTTTAAAGAACTGACAGCGAGAAGGGGGCGGGCCTCCCGAGTGACGAAGGTTCTGATTGGTCCCTCTGGGAGGAAGCGCGCGGGGACAGCGCCGTTTCTGTTACGGTCCGCAGGCCGCGGGGTGAGAGGCCGTGGCGGGGCGGGGCTGCTGGACGCGGCGGGGCAGTTACTTCAAATCGTGGTCGTGGGAGCGTGGGGTGCACGACGGGTCCCCTGCATCGCGGTGGGTCCGGGGCCCTGGCGGCCTTTGCGCGGAGGTGCCTCGCCCTGGCGGCCGGGCCGCCGTGGGGCCAGCGTCTCCTCGGGCCGCCGAGACCGGGCGGGGGCGCAGGGCCCGGCGGGGGAGTGAGGCCCGGACCCCGGCCGCCGGCCGCGCCCCCGGGCCCCCGCCCTCCCCTGACGCCGGGCTCTCTCTCTCCCCTGTTCTGCAGGCTCGCCGCCGGCGCCATGGCGCAGAGGGCCTTCCCGAACCCCTACGCCGACTATAACAAGTCCCTGGCCGAAGGCTACTTCGATCCCGAAGGGCGGGTGAGTCGGGGGCGCCGCCGCCCGCATCCCCTCCTCCAGCCCCCGGGTTTGGCCAGGAGCTCAGCTTTGCCCGCAAGGGAGGCGCATCCCTTTAAAAACAAACACCACCTACTGTGCGGTGATGACGACATAAAATCTATCTCAAAGAGATAAAGTGCATGCTAAAATAAACGGTTTGAGCCCTCACTTGTGGACTATCTATAAGGAATCGTTCATATGATGGAAGTAACCTCAGTCATCAGTATCTTACATTCCAAAAATAGGCGGACGTGCAGCCTACCGTGTTCTTTTGCATTTTTGATCCTTTGTATGTGCGTTTTAAAGGGAGGTGAACATCCTGGCGGCATTTCGCGTGCGCCCTGTGCACTGAAGTAGGGGCGGAGTGATGGTGAGGCTGGAGGGTGTGGTGAAGGCATCTTCACACTGAAAGCGCTGGGACGCGGGCCTGGCATCCTTTGCACCATTCCCACTCTTTGTAGGACGTTCCCCACAGCCGAAAAGTGCCAGGAAATTAAACTGGTTTGCAGCTCACAAACTACTGTGCAGAAGAGAACCTGCATATGGGCTACCGGAGGCCTGGGATTTCTCTTTTTGGGGAAACATAACTGTGAAGAGAGAATGGAGTTCCCTTTGAGAAGACCTCGTTGAGCCCTGACCGGTTTGGCGCAGTGGATAGAGCGTCGGGCGGACTGAAGGGTCCCAGGTTCAATTCCGGTTGCGGGCACATCCCCAGTAGGGGGTGTGCAGGAGGCAGCTGATCCATGTTTCTAACTCTCTATCCCTCTCCCTTCCTCTCTGTAAAAAATCAATAATATATATATATTTTTAAAAAAAGAATACCTAGTTGAGAAATCCTAAGAGTGAGTTAGATTGGATAAGTGCACACCCACACACACACTATATATATATATAAATTTTACCAGTTTCTTTCTTCTAACCTCAGTCATATGAGAGCATTTCACATGTGGTATAATGGCCTTAGATTTTTCATATCTGTCAAGTTAACTCTATGTGGTTCTGTTGATTTGTTCCTTAAAGCACTCATCCGTATAGATAAACCTGGGCCAGTCATGCTGGGAGGAGGGAGGTCAGAGATGGACAGGAGGTGTAGGACAGAAGGGTATCAGTGTATATGGAGCTAGAGTCAATCTGATTTTTTTAAAATATATTTTTATTGATTTCAGAGAGGAAGGAAGAGGGAGAGAGAAATAGAAACATCAATGATGAGAGAGAATCATCGATTGGCTGCCTCCTGCACGCACCCCACTGGGGATCGAGTCTGAAACCCGGTCATGTGGGAACTGAACCTGGGACCCTTCAGTCCGCAGGCCAACGCTCTATCCATTGAGCCAAACTGGCTAGGACAATCTGATTCTTATAAGACCAAAACTGAGCTGCCGAAACAAAGCAGCTTATAATTATCTTGAGGTAGATGGCGTCCTTTTGGCAATTTGGACCTGAATTCTGCCTAGCTCTGCAGATCCTGGAGCTGAAGTATTTGTCTCGTCTTGTTGGAGGAAGACATGCTGTTTCATGACAACTTGGCAAAAAGAACACTTAAGGAAATATCCTAATGACACGGCCTTCAGAAACATTTAACTCACTATTTAGGCTACTTATAAATTATGTGCTTTCTCTCCCTTATTTCTAAGGGAGAAAAAAATATCAATAAATTTAAACTCAGGTCCAAAAACATCAATGTAATTTATTACGTAACACATGGTTTTTGGACAAATCCCTAAAAGAAACTAGCATACAAGTTCTAAAAGTGTTTAACATTGAACACCAAGGATGAGATCCTGGAGAACTGTTTGCCTTATTTTGTTAACATACACATGTTAATAAGGAACTGCTCTGTCTCCTGGCATCTATCAGAAAAATGGGGGGAGGGGCTTTTAGAGACTTTTCAAACATTGCTAGAGTTTGAATAATTTTGTGGTCTGCCTCAAGTAATCAATATTCTCAGGCAGGTCACCTTTATTAAGAGCAGTTATGTGTCAAATAGAAAGTAACTTCCCTTCCTGAGGCATTCTCATTATTCTTGGTCCTTTAAAGTAAGGCAAGCAAGATGATCCATTACCCATGATCTATGAACAGAAGATGACATGTTCTCATGTAGATGCGCTCTTCTATCTAGTTGAAGTTTATAGATCTTTTATGTTTATATTGAATTATATTTTATCTTACTAAATGTGTTTTCAAGGCTTTTGAAATCTTAACCTCTTGGCAGAAATTGTTAAGTAATGGGAGTGTGTCCTTTAACAATGTGGTTTCTTCAGAGTGTGAAATAAGGCATCATCGAGGTGCTTCCGAATAAATAATCCAGAGGTGGTGGATAGTCTGATTTGCCTTATCAGAGATGATTTTCAGAAGCAAAACTTAATATCTTATTAATATTGCCTTCTTTTTTCAGTGTCAAGATGTCCTTTTTAGAATATGAGATTATGATGCCAACAGGTAGCAGTTAGGTTTGTTTTTACAATTCTTACATGATGAAATAAAATGTACCCTTGTAATGTTCCCCAACATTGTTTGGAAATTTGACTGCTTTGTGAAATACAAGCCTGGGAATCAGAATCCTAAAATTATTGAGGGACCCATTAAAGTGACCTTTTAAGATACTTCATGACTCAGTGTATACAGAACTTTTGAAATACTTTTCCGTTGCCTTTAGGACAAATAACATAATGATCCTGTGGGTCTCACAGTTTGCCCAGCATCTGTGGGTCTTCATATGGATGTCACTAACCCCGAAGCCCCAGCCTTAGTGAGCTTCAGTCCACCTGCAAATTATTACTTATTATAGACCGTGAACTATTAAAAGATGTTTATTTTTATAAATGGATTTTTATAAATATTTATCCTCATTTTTAGAATACAAAACCAATTTCTTTAGGGAATTAACATTGGTGCAGCTTAAATACTAAAAATCCAATGGCTTGAAAACAGCAAACATCTTCTGATTTGTGGTTAATTTAATAAAATGATGTTTATTATAATAAAAATATTAGTTTCACTAATAGACGATTTCTACTAGATGGAAATGACTGTGAGCCAGTTTATCTTTGGCCTATTTCAGTATTTAATTAAAACCTTTATGTAAAACACTGAAGTTACAAGAACACAGTTCACTCTTGAGCAGTGCAGGAGGTTAGTGGCACGACCTCCCAAGCAGTCGGAAATCAGAGTGTAACTACAGTCAGCCCTCCCCATACTCGATTTCCAACCTCGGAGTTGCCCCTTGAACAACACAGTCAAGTGAAAAAAACCCACGTAAAGGTGGACCTGCATAATTCAAACCTGTGTGTTCAAGGGTCAACTATATTTCCTGCCTTGAGTAGTACTTTCAAGTTTTGTTTCTTCGTTGTTATTGTTAAGAATAAAACATAGTAAGTCCTAACTGTGACTTTAAGCAAACCAATATATAAGGAAACCAATTTCACCAGAGGCTGAGTGATATAAACAAGGGTTAAGTCGCTACAGCATATTTCTGGTCACAAAAACATCACCAAACTTCTAAATAAAGACCCAAACCACTTCTAATATTAAACACTGAAATAATTGTGAGCTATATATACATTAATCAAAAGTCTGATAATTCTTCTCCAACCCACTTAGTCAGGTTCAAGGTCGGGGTTCAGGGGAGCCTATCCTGGCAGCTCAGGGAGCAGAGCAGGAACCCATCCTGGACAGGATGCCCTTCCTTCCAAGGCAGCGTACACACACACACACACACACACACACACACACACGGGGACGATGTAGATGCCACTTCCCTCACATGCACATCTTTGGGATGTTGGAGGAAATAGGAGTTTACAGAGAAAATTCACATAGACGTGGGGAGAACGTGCAAACCACACAGACTGGACCTGAAAGGAATCGATTTTTTTTTCCTCCTTATCAATGTTCCAATGAAATAACATTGAGTGATGACCTGCTGTAATTGTCCAGTTCTCCCAGGCAGAAAAAATGTGGCCTAAGTGGACATAAAGTACCCTCCTATTTTTGATAGCTATAGTGCAAGAAGTCAAGTGGCCCATTTATTGTGATGTTTGTTTTCCTCTTCATGTCTACAGCTGACTCCTGAGTTCTCACAGCGCTTGAACAATAAGATTCGAGAGCTTCTGCAGCAAATGGAGAGAGGCCTGAAGTCAGCAGACCATCGGGATGGCACCGCTTACACTGGCTGGACAGGTATGAAGTGCTGACCGAGAGCTGGTGTAAGCATTGCAAGAGGGAGCCAAAGCATTACCTGTCTAGAGCAGTCAGACTCATCTGCATATGAGTGACCACTGCGCTCTCAGCCTGGCCATGGTATCTTGTGGATTCTTCACAGTGCTCTGCACTTAGGAGAGGATATGCATATTCATGAAATTCAGGCCTGCCACAAAAGTAGATGGCTGCTGAACTTGTGAAGAGAAAAATTGATGTTCAGCATTACATAATTTGGAGATGAAATTTCAGTGGGAAGAGTCCCACAATACTGTGTGAAGTGAAGGTAAGGAGAATTTATCTACAGGAAGTAAAACATGTCCAGAAGCACTTTCATAAAAATTGCATGTAAGAGGGACCCATACAGAACACAGGGTAAAGCATAGATTCCGTGGACTAATCCTTCCATATAGTCTTTGCTGCTTGGTTTGCATTCATGGATTTACCCATCATTGAGAGGTTGGAGAAAATTTGGGAAGGAATGGCACATAGGTGTCAAAAAGGTAAGAGAGAGAAACCAATGCAGGGAAGTTGAAGAACTGAAATTAGTCTACTAATGTGGAGAAACAGAAAGACTGTTTTATAATCTTGAAGAAAGCACAGTTCCATGGCTCACCATTTCCCAGTTACTTATATACCATATATATAATCTTTCAGGGACATTGAAGGTCATCCTATATAATAAAAGGCTAATATGCAAACCAACCCAAAGGTGGAGCAACCAGTTGCTATGATGCACACTGACCACCAGGGGGCAGATGCTTGACACAGGAGCTGCCCCCTGGTGGTCAGTGCACTCCCACACGGGGAGCGCTGCTCAGCCAAGAGCCAGGCTTGCCTCACAGCAGTCGGACATCCCCCAAGGGCTCCCGGACTGTGAGAGGGCCCAGGCCAGACTGAGGGACCCCTCCCCCCTCCTGAATGCACGAATTTCGTGCACCGGGCCTCTAGTATCTTATAAGAGGAATGCATGGGCCCTCCTCCCTCTTACAGTTTTGTTTTATGATTTTTGTGGATTTTAGAAGCTTAATACAAGGAATGTTAAGATGAGAATAAAATGAAAGTATTGCTTCAAAATGGAAGTTATAACAGTTGTCATTTATTCAGTATCTGCTGTGTTGTCGGTATGCCATAATTGGTAGTTAATCTCATTAATAAACACTACTATTCATTTTAAAATTATGAGGATTTACAAAACAGGACAAGTACAATGCAGTGGTTGGGCATTAGCAAATGATTACTGTTCATTAATATTCAAAAACAAGAATTCAGTACTTTAATAATAAAACATAATGAATAAATTTAGGTTCCCAAAGGAATGAGGATCATCAACATGCAGTTTTGTGATCATTTGAATGTTGAAGGACAAGAGTAAAGATTAAAATACGATTCTTGTTAATGAAATGTTACTAGGATTGACATTTGAATGACAGAAGCCGGAGACTGTGTACGTGTATGCCAATAACTAACATTACAGGCCAGGCACCATCTAAGTGCTTTGCATTAATTAACTATATTAAGTCTCAGAAGAACTCCATGGCATGGATACTATTCATAGCCCCGTTTCACAGATGAGAAAAGTGAAGCAGAGCGAGATTGCAGGTCTGTTCTTGGTTACAAAGCTAGTAAGTGGCAGTTAGGATTCAGCCCAGCCAGCCTGGCTTTAGAGCGCCTGCTCTTTACCAAGAGAGATGTCTATAGAGAGAATGAAAATGCGTGTGTGTGTGTGTGTGTGTGTTTACTCCACTTTTACATTTGAGTTTACAGCATTTTATAAGTGAAGTGAAGATCTGTACATAAGCTCTCAGGTGAAGTAATTTAAGCAATCACAACACAATGATACTTGTGTACAAACTTTTTAGAAATGGCTAATGACTAGTCGGTTTTAAGTGTTATAGAAAAACATAAGCCCTAATAAAACATTAAAGGAATTTGGAAAGAAAGGAATTTGGAAATGGCTTGTTAGACAGGCAAGAGTACTTACTATTTAAAAGTCTGTAAGAAAAAGTTATTAGGGATCAGACATAAAGTAAACCCTGGGAGAATTATGGGCATTTGCAGCTGGAAAAATGAGATCTCCGTTGTGGTTCTATAGACGGTGTTTTCCTCCCTAATCCTGAATTAACATATTAGCATGGTTTCAGGATAGAAAATTAACTGGGCCAAAACAGAAGCTTTTCCTTATAATTGCTTGTATTTGAATAGGCTTGCTGGGGATCTTATGTGAAATATCACCCAAGTCTGAAATCAAACTTGCAATAAACAGCTTCAGTGCTTATCACCAAAAGCCTCCTTTATAAAATGAGTACATTGAAGTGTAATGCATCATGATATTGATATATGACATATGCCAGCAATAAACATTTTGTTCATTTTTAGCCTTACTCCTTTTCTGGTAGATTATCAAGAGTTCTTTATAGTACATGCTCCTAGTTTTGGAAGCAAGGGAAGCATTTGGATTCTCTAGGTGCCCCATCAAAAACTGTTCTATATATCTGTGCACATAACAGACAGTGCGGAAAACTAGCAGGCAAGGAGGCCCCTGCAGGTCAAGCCTGATGGCCAGCTACGGAGTGGTCCTAGGTGGTGTCCAGGGATCTGTGGGGAATCACTACAGAGCATAACACCCCTGCATTAGGCTGTTCTGGGTTTTGTTCCAGCTTGATTATAGATTCTAAGGGGCGAAGGCTTTAAAGTTCCTTATAAAATGGAAAGCACAAAACACTGGTGAGAAATTAAATGAGTAGATGAAGTATTTTTGTGTTAGAAATAAACATTTAGTATAAAAGATTCCTTTCAGGTAACATGGTAAAAAGGTTAAGTAAACCCAAGGGATGGCTAATCGCACTAGTGTCTTTAAGAGAGAATGAGGGAAAGTGCTAGCCTTCATTTAATTTCATTTTTCTCTCTCTTAACTGTGATGATTCCTAAGGGAAATGATAATCAACTCACACTTTGAGGGGGAAAAATGCACACAGGACTCTAGAGGCTTTAGTTCTAAAAGACATGACCGAATTTTCTGTAACCAACTCACAGTGTTAATGAGGCTAAGATCGGCATATAGTTTCTCTTTTCAAGTATTAGATAGCATTTTAAATAAGAGGATATGCAGCATAGTCCCAGGAGTAATATTAACTTGCGCTCTAAATGTAAGTCATTAAAGTATTTCAAGATGCTGTTCCTCTGATCTGCCAAATGTACAGCCTTTGAGCTGCAGCTTTAGCATGTGGTCTTAGTTTCTGCCGATAGCACTTATTTGAAAGGAATCGCTCTGGCCAGGTGTCTTTTCTGTGTAATTTGATCTCCTTATTAAGTAGCTCTACATCAGAGCCAGCATTTCAGTGTGTAATTTGAGCCCTGAACAAGTGTCCTTCACCTTCAGGAGCCCCTATGTCTCCCAGCAGGAGCTGGTAGGACACGAAGGGATCCAGGGTGTGGATCTACACTGCGTTTCTTAGAGCCCTTCACAGTGACCTCTAGATAGATAAGTGCACCGAGAGTGCTGCCTGCTTTCTTTCTGCCTGCACTTTACTTGCTGTTGATGTTATCTTAAATTGCGAAGACACAGGCTGGAACAACTATAAGGGTAGGCCATCGCCAGTGTGCTAGGATGAGACACAGAGAGCAGGATGAGTGTTTGTAGATCGACTAGAAGAAATGGCAGGAAGGAAAGAATGAAGACATATCTAAGCAATTAGATTTTTACAGACCAAAGAGACTGGGGCTGTGTCTTGTCATTTTTATTCCAGTTACTTCAGCACTTAACACAGTGGGCTAGGTCCATAGTTGGTGCTTAATAAATACATGTTGAATGGATGGGTGGATGGATGGATGGATGGAGAGTGCTCTGCCATTACAATTCTTGCTACCATTTATGCAAACTAAAAACAGTACCTTAAAACTAGGTGGAATGGGCAAAGGATGGGAATTCAATGCAGTTCTTATATTGGTTAATCACATCTCTTTCCCTGCAACCTTAGCACACGCATCAGAGCAACACTCTACCCAGCCAGGTCCCTGAGGATGGGAATTCAATGCAGTTCTTATATTGGTTAATCACATCTCTTTCCCTGCAACCTTAGCACACGCATCTGAGCAACACTCTACCCAGCCAGGTCCCTGAGCTCCAGCTCTTCATGAGTACTGCGCTGAAGGATTTATCACTCACGGCAGTCTGAATAAAAGACTAGGAGCACTTCCTAATTTTACAATTATGAAGCCGCACATTGCAGAGCACTGAGAGGAGGAGGAAACATGACTTCTTTTTTTAATTTTTTTTATTGATTTTAGAGAGAAAGGAAGGCGGAGAGAGAGAAACATCTATCAGCTGCATCCTGCTTTCCCCCTGACCGGGATTCAAACCCACAAGTTCTATGTCCCTGGGACTACATTCAACCAACTGAGCCTAACCAGCCAGGGCTTCTTTTTTTTTTTTAACCTCTCTTTTTATTGGACAGTCAACTCTGCAAATAGGTCCTCGAGAAAAGAAGACACATCTTCAGAGTGCTCACTTACCCTCTTTAATTTCTCTTCCACTCCTTTCTTTGGAGCAATATTAAGTTAAGGCTGTGGACTCCCAACTAGTTTCCTCCCAGATTGCCTGTATTAAAAGTAGTACTGGAATATTTGAACAGCCAGCAGTGTCCACATCAGAGCACTATGCACAGTAACTACAGCGACTGGGTATGACAACTATAATTTTGTTGAAGAAATGGAATTGCATGCTCTCAAATACTCACAAAATTGAGAAACAGCTTTAAAATAACACATTATAAAGTACTAACCTGATCTAGACGGACCGATGATTATATTGTATGGGGTTAATCAGAGGAAATTTCACATATTTTCATAAATCTGAAAATAAATAAAAACATAGAAATTAATGAACATTTAAAGTTTCAGCTAGTGAACCATTCATTTGAAACTTATAAAAACCCATCACCCCTCCTTTAGGGAGTTAGTGTCTTCATGTCACTCAAACTATTGTGACCCATTATTGGGTGTTAGCTGAGCACCTCTAGTAACTCCAGCAGTATGTGTAGTCTGAACATGATTTCTCCTACCAGGGTCCATGAAGAGAGTCTTTAAAAGCCCCTGGCCTGTAAGGAAATACCTTATGGAGCTTAAGTACCATGGCAAAGATCTGTACATCAGTGTGGGCTGATTGTAGGTAAATGAATAACGTCAAGGAGTAATCTCTGAAATGCCAATTACAGAGAAGTGCTTACATCTGTGGAGTTGTGTTTGTTTTTTTCATCTCCATATACATTTGAGAGTACCAGGTCTTGATTGGTCAAGATGAATGGAACTAATGATCCCTGAGAAATTCAAAGACTTAGTATTAATTACTTCTCAACAGCTGGCTATATTTATAGTCTTACGGGGTAAATAGCTGAGTAAGGAAATTGCAGATTTAGAAGTATCCCTAAGCAGTTTACCCTCCCTTCCCAGAGTAGTAGCTACAGAAGGAAACAGGAGAGAAAAATCTAGTTCATTTCCATACTGAAATCCAGAATAGATTTCTATTAGCGCAAAATTTTATTTGGTCTTCACTGTATATATTGTTTTCTTTCAAGTAGTTGTCAACATTTCCAAGAGAAGAGGTTTCTAGGAGGAACTGTGAGGCAGTGCCAGGCTTCCTGAACTTCTCATGCAGAATACCATCTCCCCTCTGATCAGTGCAGTGCTGTGCTTAGACCTTTCTGTGGGGATGGAAAGGTGACTTTGCTGTACACAGGGCAGCCACTAGCCACAGGGCTTTCGAGCATTTGAAATGCGGTTAGTGTGACTGAAACAAAGAATTTTAAATATTGTTTACTTTTAATTAAGTTTCTGTAAAGGTGAGCATGTTGGACACCACAGTTCTGAGCAACCAAACGGGCTCCAGGAACCTAAGACCAAAATAATAAATGTCTGGGTTTCTTCTGCCCTCTCAAGACCACAAAGGAGGTGAGAAGCATAGTGTTTCTTTTTGTTTTTCAATCAAACACAATTCCCACTTCATTGGATTAATGAGTCTTGTACTCCAGCTGCTCCTGGAATGCATCAGGGAATCGTTGGCCACTTGAGTTAACACATTTCCCGCATGTTTGGAGGACATTTGTCCAGCCTCTCATTCCTGAACTCCAAACTCAAGTATCCAGCTGCCTGCTTGGCCTCTCTGCTTGGTATCTCCCTCTCAGGCATTCCCCACCAGGTTCCATTGATTTTACCTTCCAGACAGATGATGTGATTTACCTCCTGCCTCACTCCCCAGCTTCAAAAAGAGCTGTATCCTTCAGCATTAGGCTTACCAGCATGTGGGGATACACCTAAAGGAACTGTGGCTTTAACACGACAGAATGTCTTTCTTTTGTATAAAGGCAATCCAGGACAGCTTCACAGTCCTTCGGGATTTAAGCTGCTTTGATATTGGTGCTTTACCCTCCTCATCACAGAGCTGCTACTTCATGGTCTAACATGGCTGCTTTAGCTACACCGTACAAAGTGTATTCCAGTCAGGAGGAAAGAAATGGCAAGTCCCTCCATTCAAGAACATTTTCTGAAATTATCCCCATTACTTCCACTATGTCTCACTTGGTCAGCTGTAAAGAAGACTGTTATGGGCAGCCCTGTGCCTAGCTAAAATCCAGGCCATTATTGTTGAAGGAAAGGGAGATACATTTTGGGGGACCACTTAGCAGTCTCTATCATAGTCTCATCTTCCAAAATGGATTGTGAGTCAAAATATTTGATAAAAAGAAATGATGCGATAGCACATAAGCATATTATTAGAAATATGGAGGCAGATACTAGAGGAAATGACTAATATTATTGAAAGTGATTGCCTCTGGGAGGCAGGAATAGAGTGGGGCATGAGACTGCATATGTATATTAAGCCAGGCATTACTACTAGTATTTAATTTCTTCCATAAAAAACATACTGTATTTATTTTGATAAGTTACATTAGAAAAGAGTCTTTTAAAGCCTAGGCTGATTCCAGAGCTGTGAGTATATAGAAGGACTGGATGAGTTTTTCCTACATGAATATTTTCAGTGGTTGGAAAATTGTAAGAATCAGATTTAAGACATTTGGCCACAAGTAGTTCCTCCATTTTTTTCTATTTGTTTTAATTTTTTTAAATGTGTTGATTGATTTGAGAGAGAGAAACATTGATTTGTTGTTCCACTTATTTATGCACTCATTGGTTGTTTCTTGTATGTGCCCTGACCAGCATCAAACCCACAAAGTTGGGCTATCAAGATGATGCTCTAACCAACCTAGCTACACGACCAGGATTAAATTAGTGCATGTGGGGTATAAAATACTGATGAGGCATTGTCTTTGACTTAGGCATTTTATCTAATTTTTCTGACCTAGACTAAATATAATAAGCTTGTTCCAGACATTTTTCTAATTGGCCACAGCACCCCTCACTTGAAACCCTTTTCATCCTTAGGTGTTTTGTGACAAGGAAGGTAGACACCATAAATTGCAACCTGGATGAGATTGCCTAATCAAAATAAGCGGACACTGATGCCCAGAATGAGAAGGAGAGAAATAGAACCTGAAATCCCAGAGGCTGGCTGTGTTGATCAGAAAGAAAAAAACAAAATATTTTATTTAAATGAAATACTGTGAGACTTGAGAAGTGATTACCCTCTTTTCATGAGAAATACATCAAACCTTACAATTGCAAAACTTCATGGGCTTTGTTTGTTAAATACTTAGGCCAAGAGGAATTGTTGATAATGAGAGAAAGGTCTGCAAAGGAAAGCAATCATTGGGCTTGTATTTAATCACTTTTTATTTTCTCAGATCTCAGTCATGTCATTATCTGGCTTTGGTGCTTACATAACTTAATTAAGGGAGTTCAGGCAGCGATGGGAATAGGAGGGCAAAATGAAAGGGTAACAATTTAAACAGATTGCCTGCAGATGCCTGGTGTGGATGAGATGAAGCCCATTAAGAACCTAATTCTAGAAGAAGCTCTTGACATTGATCATTTGTGAAAAGGAGATTTCTTTTCTTACCCACATATGGGGTTTTGCACACTTACATCTATAAACCTTAAGCATTGGTACATCTGATCATCTCAGCTTGTGGAATTACTAATGCCAAGCCACTTTGAAAGAGCAGACAACGTTATTAACTTTGGCAGGAAATGAAAATTTGGTCTTAATATACATGTGAAATTGAATTGTCTGTAGCACAAAGCTTTGGAGATTACCCATGCAAAATGAGAAAACTACCTAAATTTAAAATTGTCCTCAGTACAGTGAAAAGTAATTTTGCAGACTGCATTTTTACTGCATTGAAATTTGTGAAGAGATTGGCTCTATTAATTTAGATTTAAACAGAAGCTCTCTATCTTTTAAAAATGGTAAATGAGATGGAAAACGTACTTTAAGGAGAAAAATGAGTTTATAGAAATGCTGAAGGCGGGCTCCCTGTGCCACATCTTTAAGTCTGCCCTGAGACCAGGAGTCTTCAGAGGGAGGCTCTCTCTGCTGTGACAGGTATTTGGAATAGGGACATACAGAAAACTGCACAATTACATACAGGGCTTCAAGGGTATGATAGGAAGCCAGTAAAGGCCCAAAGCTAAAGTCCTTGGCAACTTTTACAATATAGTTCCTAAAGAAGTTGGAGTCTCAACAGAGAGAAAAAAATACAGAGGAATTTAATTCATTTCTCAACTTAGTTTTCTTGTAATCCCTGCCTGGAATGATACTGGGGTAGGGAATTTGGTTACTCTACCACCTTCTCATGAAAAAAAAATTCTTATATATATGAGAGAAATTGAATTTTCATTTCCTAACCTTTGGATTTCTTTAGCTCACATGAACAAACATTTCTTGTTTATTATTAAGTAAATTATTATTTGTTAAATAAGTGACTGTATATTTGGAACCATAGTTTTCATAACCTATCATTTAACCATGAAGACTACATTAATACAATAGCTAGAGTGCAACAAAGATTAATAATAAACTTAGATTTAGAGTTCGTAGAGAGTCTTAGAGTTCCTATAATTTAGAGTTATAATGATGAGGAAACTTAGAACAATGAAGTGTTTGCCTGTGTCTGCTCTAAGAGCTGCTTGGTAATAAAGCTGCGTCTAGAACTAAGGTCATCTGAACAACCGGATAGTTTACATATTTATTACAGCTTGTCAAAATCAACACTGCTGAGGAGGCAGCACACCAAAATAATACAGCCGGCTGCCCTTTCCTCGTGTTTACATTGTTTTCCTTTTGCTTTTCAGGTATTGCTGTGCTTTACTTACATCTCTATGATGTGTTCGGGGACCCTGCCTACCTCCAGATGGCACATAGCTACGTAAAGCAAAGTCTGAACTGTTTGTCCAAGCGTTCCATCACCTTCCTTTGTGGGGATGCAGGCCCTCTGGCTGTTGCCGCTGTGGTGTATCACAAGATGAGCAATGAGAAACAGGCAGAAGATTGCATCACCCGGTAATCATGGCTCTCTTAACGGATTTTTAGCTACCTGTTACTATGCATTAATTCTACGTGTTATAAAAGAACATTTTAGTGAATTTACTTTCCTCTCAGCAACAAATCTTAGCACTATCATTTGATCAATTCTGACATTTTTCTTATGTTATAGTTAAGAAACAACCATTATCCCTACTTCATTGCAAGATATAATAACACTGACACAATCCAGGTCAAACATCAGTTTCAGTAACAATAATGATCAAAAGCCTACTTATATGATTACTAACCCAACGTGCTATCCAAGAACTAAAAAAATGCAGTTCACTTCCTGTGGTGGGTTGAGAAAGGCCCCTAAGGATATACAAACTGATGCAAAACTGCTTTTTTTAAGGACAAATGATATGCAAATCCAGCCTTTTATTTTTAATGTAAGTCAGGGCAGTCCATTGAAGGTGGTGAATTATGAAGAATTACCAAACTTTTGTACTAATAAATTACAATTTTTGCCTTATTAGAGTTTAATGAACACTCTTTCAGAATTCTGCTAAGAAATCTGACTGCCATGCAACTCTGCATGCATGGTAGCTTCCCACTGAGCATGCTGACATACAGAGAGTTACATTTCCAGCGAAGGTTTTATTGTTTGGTTTAGTTGCTTAATAGACTTTACTTTTTAGAGTAGTTTTCAGTTCACAGCAAAATTGAAAGGTAAATAGATTCCCCATATGCCGCCTGTCCCCCACACATGCACAGCCTCCCCCATTATCAACATTCCCCATCAGAGTGGTGCACTTGTTGTTATCGATGAACCCACACTGATACATCATAGTCTCTGAAAACCACAGTTTACATTACAGTTCACTCTTAGTGTTGTACATTCTATGGGTTGGACAAATGTATGACATGTTTCCATCATTATAGTATCAGTCAGAGTAGTTTCACTGCCCTAAAATCCTCTGTGCTCTGCCTATTCATTCCTCTTCCCTCCTCCCTAACTCCTGGCAACTTTGATAATAAATTCTTATCAAGACTCTGACACATTTATTCTGTTTACTGTAAAAGTCCTACCTTTAATAATGTTCAGACACACTAATGAACTTTAATGATGTGAATTCAAATCCAGAAAAGAACGGAATGCTTACTTTATTACCCTAAACTGTATTGTTTTAAGGAGATACTCTGAGCAATACTTTATTTTAAAAGATTCGTGAAGGTATTTGCTACCTACTTTAAACTTCCCAAATGCAAAAAAGTTTGGCTGCAAAATAATTGGAATGCTAATTATATCTTGCCACCTAGTGGTAATGCAGGTCATAATGATGGCAAATAAAACTCTTTTCTAATATAGTGGTTCAAACATATTTTATTTAGATGAAAACATCATTGGAGTTAATGCAATAATTAATAATTAATTCTGAGTAACTTCCACAGTGTAGTGATTGATTAAAAAGTTCATGGTAATTTCTCTTTTTGAATAGATTCTTAATCTTCTTTGCAAAAGTAAATCAAAAGTGCTTTCTTATATCCAAACTCTATACAATTTGATACAGTTACATAAAAACTTGATAATAAATTCTTATCAAGACTCTGACACATTTATTCAGTTTACTACAACGGGTGAATTCATATCTAGTAAACAGATTTTATTTTCTTAAGGTCTCAATGTTACTAAGCTGCCAGTTAGACATTTTTAAAAAAGAATTTTTATTAAATGTTTTTAAATTCTTTAAATATTAGGAGTGTGTTTGTATGAAACTGAAGTAGGAAACAAAATAGCCCATAATTCTACCTTCCAGATGACCATGTTGACATTGGGAAAAAACAAAGTCAAGGTATTACAAGAAAATCAAAAGCAATCTCTTGCCACTGTGTCTCTGTACCTAAGATAACCACGGTTCGTTCCACTGTGAGTTTAATGCCTGTATTTATAGAAGAAAAAGAGTGCATGAGCCATCATTTGCATATTTGAACAGTTTGATTGAAATACGTCCATTTGTTGAAATATAATATGGAAACGCTTAACTTTGTCAGGAACTGCAGGCAGCCATACTTTTCAAACCCCTCTTTCTTGCTGGGGAATAAGTTCACTTAAGGACCCTTTCATAACTTTTTCTCAGTCTGTTTCATAACTGTTGTCCCCTTTTAGTCACCAAAATCATCTCATTCTGGTTATAAAAACATGTCTTCTTCACTTTAAATTGTGTGCTCCCCTTGTCAGACCACAGGCCTATGGAAGTGGTGGGAGGCGTTGGGAGGGGACAGACAATGATTTTTTCCTTCACTTGTACATTTCATTTTACAGAAATAGAAGGTGCTTTGAGTGTTGACTTAGTTCTTTCTCCAGGCAGAATTCCCTAACAGCCAGCAGTCTTAGCCTCTCTGACCCCAGCTGCTAGTCTCAGGGCAGGCCTCCGTTGAGGAGCTAGGGAGGCTCCAGGTGGCCTCAGCCCTACTCCTGTATTATTTCCTTCTTTGAGTATCTTGTTCGACAGTTCCACTGTGAACTGAAGAAAAGAAATTTAGTTACGGGTTAATCTTTGAATCCTGACTGTCGTTGGTGCTCTGGCCCAGCCCACTAATATTAATGTAAAACAACATACATATTAATTATAACTATATATTAAAAAATTTGTAAATATAATAAATATATTCATGTGTGTTTTTTAAAGGTACGATTTTTGGTATATACCACTACCTAATTCCTTTCAAATTATCTCAAGCATGTATTTTTCTTCCCAGGCTAATTCACCTAAATAAAGTTGATCCCCACGCTCCAAATGAAATGCTCTATGGACGAGTGGGCTACATCTACGCTCTTCTCTTTGTGAACAGGAACTTTGGAGTAGAAAAGATTCCTCAACGCCACATTCAGCAGGTACCATGTTTTTGTGCTTTTTGGAGTTTTTTTTTAAACTTAACATCTACCTAACCTATTGGCTTTATTCCTCCAGTTAGCACCTCCCAAGTAGCTGGAAGGTATATCTTGACCTCTGGAGGTCGGGCATGATAAAAAAAAAAACCAAAACAAAACAAACGAACAAAAGAAAAAAACAATAGCTACATGCTGAGTTCTATTGGAAACGCTGGGGAGAGTGACTCAGTAAGACGTCTGGCCATGTGAGAGTTAGAGGCCCTTTCCAAGAAGATGAGGGCAGGTTTCAGCTTCCGGGTGCAAGTAACTCCTTTGGTGCCGGAGGAGTTATGCATTCCTTTGACAAGTGCATCCTTGTAAGCTGTCGTGAAAAGAGTTCAAGATCTTCCATACCCTCCCCTACCCGACAGAATATAGTCAGACCCACTCTCTGAGAGCTGAGTTAACTGCCCTTCCATGGCCTAAGTTGGTGTCTAATTCGCCATGTTCCCCAGAATCTAAGCTATTCAAACAGGTTCTGACCTCCACCAGCAGGGTTTTTACTGTAATTCTCATTATTTTGGTTGGTTTTTTCTCTGTAGGTTTGTGAAACAGTCTTAACATCTGGAGAAAACCTAGCTAGAAAGAGAAACTTCACAGCAAAGACTCCGCTGATGTATGAGTGGTACCAAGAATATTATGTGGGGGCTGCTCATGGCCTGGCAGGGATTTACTACTTCCTGATGCAGGTGAGAGGGGATGGTGGTGACACTTTAACAGGTGCTTCCTGACTTGACTGACAAGGTCAGAAGACAGGGGCTCCAGCTCCATTTTTCATTCTGTCGACTCCTGCATCACCCTCCTTGTAATGACCTGGCCTGAACAACAAGATTAATGTTTGCCAAGGGGCATTTCAAGTGGATAAACATAAAAGGCGCTGTGCCTTCAGATAATGTTTGATTTGTGGATGACCATACTTGCCTAGGTCCACTTGTCTAGACTAAAGTGTTTTGACCTATACTTATTATTATTTCACATTGTAAGGCACAACCCATTGGAACAAATTCCAGAAGTAAGACCAAAATCAGTAGAAAACAAATGAGCACGTGTTGCCTAAGGCTCACTTAGAAAGCAAAGCTAAGGAGCCTTTCCAATGGATTTTGTATAACCTACCCGGGAAATAGCTGAATAGGCTATGCTTAACCGTTCTTTATTTAGATCAAATACTATTGTGGGACATCAGCCAAAGTCAAATAGACTAAGGACAAATAGAATTTACTGCAGCCAGCATAATCGGAGGGGAGAGGTCAGAAGGGGACTGCTCATGGGAGAATCATTTCTGGGGGCTTATTTAACTCTCTTTAAGGAGAAATTGGCCCTTGTGAATAAGAATTTATGGCTAAAGAAAATTGATTTTTAATGGTAGCAAAGGCGTCCCCCTCACCTTCCCAAAGTACAATGTGGCATAAAGAAAGTGTTTCATTAATATGTTCAACATGAGTGCTTAGACATACATGCTACTTACTGGTTGAGTAGCTGGCTATAATAATGCAAAATCAATGTCAGACCTGCCTTCTCCCCATAACTAAACAATGACAATGATGCTGGAAAACACAAGGTTATTATTGCTTTTAAGTGCAAAGTCACACTTTGAGGGTTAGTGGCAATAGGAGACCAACTATTGTATTTATTCTACACTTCTCAATTAAGAGTTTTATAATTAGGGATTTTGACAGTTTAGACTTAAATTCCTTTATTTTCTGACTTTTTATAGACTTAAATCCCCTCATTATTGCTCTATTTCCAAAAACAAATATAACTCTTAAAAGTTTTCAGGAAAGGAGAGTTCATGTCTTCTGAAGTTTCGAGGTGAGTTGAGTCACACGTGTCAGTGACTGAACAGCCACATGACCTTTCATTGAAGTAGATCATCAGGAGCATCTTACCCTCTACCTCCTTTGCTCTGTAGTAAGAAATCTGGAAGCTGAGTTTTCCATTGGCAGATCGTTAGCTATTTTAAATGATTTCATTTTTAATCCTGTAAAAGTTCATTCCAGGAGGTGCCTGTGTATCAGCATAAAGCAATGTATGTGTTGGCCATTTTGGATAATTCCTGCAAATTTGAGGAGAATCCATTCATTCTACACTAGCATTTTAAGTTGAATTTGAACAGTATTCTTTGGATAAAGTGAAATCTACATGTGCTCTAAGGAATTCAGTGCAGGTTCAGTGTCTGAAAGCCTTGTCATCCGTGTGGCCTAATTCCCTGCCACCACAGTCTCCTGCCTGTGCTTCATGCCACTGCCCCCCTCAGCCCCACAAATTCACCCCCTACCTGGCAAAGACAACACTTTGATTTTGTAATTTAAAGAAGTGAGCAGTGCTTTGAATCAAAAAGAGAAACTAAAAATTATATCAAAAATGGAGACTCATGTGCTCTATTTCAGTGTGTCCTGTAAATCTGTACATTGTTGTATCAGAATCACCCTGCGTAAGTGTCAGTCCCAAATGCTCTGGCAGAAAGGCTTGGTCCAGAGTCACACAGCAGTTTGGAATCTAGGTTCCAGGTCTCCTAACTTGTTCGCACCCTTCTCCATTGGAAACATCTGAATGTAATAATGAAAGTTTTCTTTGTGGATCTCTTTCTGCGCTTTCATGTATGCTGAAGGAGTTCAAACTTCTCTTACACTCACCCTCTCAAGCATTGACTTAGGAAAGTTATTTACATGTATGTAAGATAACAAAAATTGAAAAATAATATGGACATAAGGCCAAAGAGTTGACTGATAGCCTAGTTTAATTTGTTCCAGTACGCAAAATAATTGGATGGAATCCAAAATTTCCAGTTCCTTCTGGTCATGTTTTCTTTCTGGTTTAAAACTCATTCCTGAGGCTCAGGAAGATCTGTTTGCTTCAGCAGAACTAATAATTCCCTTTCTCACTCCTAGCCCTGCCTTCAAGTGAGCCCTGCCATGCTACACAGCTTGGTCAAGCCCAGTGTAAACTATGTCTGCCAGCTGAAGTTCCCTTCCGGCAATTACCCTCCTTGTGTGGGCGACACTCGGGATCTGCTGGTCCACTGGTGTCACGGTGCCCCTGGGGTCATCTACATGCTCCTCCAGGCCTATAAGGTACTGTGAATTTTCTCCTTCTAGAAATAAATTGGAAAATATAAAATTCTAAAATTTAAAATTAGTTTTATGCATAATCCTTAAAGGAGCAATAGATAAATCACTTGTTAGACCTAAGCTCACCGTTGCTAAATGGATTATAACTCATTCTCACAGTGTCTGTCTGCACCAGAACAGACATTATTTCACAGAGCAGGAGACTGCTTCCCTGACAACTAGAGTAGCCAAGAGTATAGCCTCAGTTGCAGAGCCATGATGAGTCCCCAGGAACTCGATGGAAAAATAGAATGAATCCGCCTCACACATTGCTGGTGGGAATGGAAAATGGTGCAACTGCTGGAGAAAACAGTTGGCAGTTCCTCAAAAAATTAAAGTTAGATTTAACATATGATCCAGCAATTCCACTCCTAGGTATTTAAAATCAAGGATCCAGACACACTTGTACACCTGTGTTCCACAGCAGCATTATTCACAACAGCCAAAAGGTAGAAATAATTCCCAGTATCCATCAGCAGATGAATGGATAGACGAAATGTGGCATCTGCCTCCAGTGGAATAGTATTCAGCCATGCAATAGAGTGAACTTAGGATCTAAACCAGCCCTGGGCAAATTACGGCCCGCCCGTTTGAAATGAATAAAACTAAAAAAAAAAAAAAAAAAGACCGTACCCTTTTATGTAATGATATTTACTTTGAATTTATATTAGTTCACGCAAACACTCCATCCATGCTTTTGTTCCGGCCCTCCGGTCCAGTTTAAGAACCCATTGTGGCCCTCGAGTCAAAAAGTTTGCCCATCCCTGATCTAAACTATAGCATGCATCCATGAACATTGAAAACATTATAAATTAAAAATCTACAGACTGGCATCTCATAATCTAAGTAAGCTTTTAGTATATCACATTTTACTTTTAGAAACTTGGGAAATCTTTTAAAAATGCCTTTATGTTTAAGATCACTTAGTTTGCAATGAGATAATTAAAATGTCTAATCAGAATATTTCTCAAGTCTTCGATTAATATAGGAGTCCACAAAAGATTGTAAAGGTGTATCTTTATTTTTCTGACGAAGTGCAGGGTTTTATAGCCAAATCAGTTTTTATAATCAGCTTTATATACACAGTTTCTCCTTCAGTATGTGAAGAAACTTCCTTTTAATCAAGGGCATCATTGTTACCAAAGAAGGTAGCATGTGTTCTTTGGGAAGTGACTAATGATAACAGCAAGTTTCAAGTAAAATAATGTTACTTCACCAATAACACACACACACGCGCGTGCGCGCGCGCACACACACTTAAAACTTAGACCATGCAAACAAAGTCATGCCCATTATTTTTTTTAAAGGTAGCAGTTTTGTAATTTGTCCCACTGATGTACCACATCTCTGTACAGCTAAATCCATTATCCTTTCTTGCCAAGCCACTTCCCTCCCTCCTTCCTCCATCTCCCCTTCTTTCCTGTTGAGGAGGAATACCAATAGAATTTTCTTTCCTATCCTTTAAAATAAAACGATGTCCCTGACTCTGCAGGTATTCAAAGAGGAACAGTATCTCAACGATGCCTATCAGTGTGCTGATGTGATCTGGCAGCATGGGTTGCTGAAGAAGGGGTATGGGCTGTGCCATGGCACTGCGGGGAATGCCTATTCCTTCCTGGCGCTGTACAACGTCACCCAGGATACCAAGTACCTGTACAGGGCCTGTAAGGTAGGAGTCAGAGCCCCAAAAGGAAAGCACCTTCTCCCAGAGGCTGTAGAAAGGTTTCTAGTTAATCTGATTTAATTCATTCATTTGTTAAACCATATCTGTGGGACACACAATTATTTAAGAAAAACCTTCAAAACCATTCAGTGGAATTATCTTTCTTTTAAAAGGACATAATTCTATTCAGCAGCATTTCTGAGAGAAAAAGAAAGATGTAGGTGGTGTCATTCCTTCGTTTCTTCTATGCTAACCTTGGAGATGTAGGGCTCAGATAGCTTATTAAATTCCCTTCATGTTTCACACTCTTTCAGGCCATGCATTTCTCTGCATTAACTCCTTTTCTCTGCCTTGAAGATAGTTTTTTACTTTTTAGAATAATTCTTATGGGCAATGTCTATCAACTTGTGGGGGTCTCTGGAAGAAATCACAGCAGTAATTTAACTTGGTCTCATTTTCAGTTTGCTGAATGGTGCTTAGATTATGGAGATCATGGATGCAGAACACCAGACACCCCCTTCTCCCTCTTTGAAGGTATTTTCCCACATGGCTTTTTGCCTTATAATGTCAGCGTCCACTGCTCTGCTTGCTAGTTAATGTATTTAAATCAGAGTTTTGTCAACAAGTTAATTTTACAATCATTTATTAAACTACTTCCTTATTTCCTAGTACAAGAGCTCAGTATTAAAAATCAGTGAGCACGTGGACTAGCACAATCCTTATACTAATAGTCATAGTGATGACTACCATTATGGAGCCAGGCACGTGCTGGGCATTATGCAGATGCCGTCATAAATCTCAGTGAAAACATACAGACATCACCCGCACGTCACCGATGTGAAGACAGGTAGGGGACCCTCAGTGCTCACACAACCAATGGCAGGGCTGTGCCTTGAACTTGTCTGGCTCCACGCTCCCTCCTGTCTTCCCCTGGATGAAGCGGCTGAACACCTCACTGGTGATCTCCTCTAATATTGAACTGCAAGGAACGTAAATATAGACAGATGCCTACTTCATTTAAATCATTGCCATTAATATCGTAATGTTGTTGCTGCAAAATGAAGCCACTCTCTAAAATGGAGTCGTTGCCGAAACCGGTTTGGCTCAGTGGATAGAGCGTCGGCCTGCGGACTGAAAGGTCCCAGGTTCGATTCCGGTCAAGAGCATGTACCTGGGTTGCAGGCACATCCCCAGTGGGAGATGTGCAGGAGGCAGCTGATCGATGTTTCTCTCTCATCGATGTTTCTGACTCTCTATCTCTCTCCCTTCCTCTCTGTAAAAACTCAATAAAATATATTTTAAAATAAAATAAAATGGAGTCGTTTGGTATATTAACTTTCTTCTTTCTCTCCCTTCAGGAATGGCTGGGACAATATATTTCCTGGCTGATCTCCTCGTGCCCTCGAAAGCCCGGTTTCCTGCATTTGAGCTATAAAAGGACAGCCTGCCCTGCAACTCATGCATGACCCTTCCTGTATATCAGACCTGAGCGAAATGCTGTCAGTGCTTTTCAATGAAACAGTCAAACTGTGTACTTGGTTTAGTTGATTTTTTTTTCCAGAATTTGTCTTTAGTTCACTTCCTTTTTTTTATCATTTATTTTATTTTAAAATATCCAAGGAAATCCTTTAACTTTAACTTCGCTTTCTTCCAAAAAAGAAGCTGGGTGATATGTATAATATTTTGAGGGCATATATGTATATATATTTTATAACTTGGAGGAAGTCTTGCTCTTATTTAAGCTTATGAATATAATTGTCTGTTACTGTTCTAAAAATGGTTAAAGAAACTGAATATAGATAACAGATAAATATATGATTATTGTTGGACATTGCCCTCTACCTCTGCTATTTAGTATTTTTCCTCCAACAGTTCAGTTTTATGACTTTGCTTTTCTCTATGTGGCTGATTATGAAAGAGAACAAAAATATAACTCTGTGCTTCCAGGACAAAAATTGCAGGAGTTAAAAACTGCTCTAGCGACCTAAATGCCATTTTTTAAATTCACAATGTTAATTTAAACTAGAGATCAGCATACTCTGACATTTGCCCCTTTTTGTTAGGAAAGCATCCAGGCTCTAGTTGTGAAAATGCTTTGAAGGTTTGTTCTAGATAAGCTAACAATAAGAGCTTATTGTGTGTTATTTTTCTAAAGTAAGCTAGTGCAGTTTGTAACTATTTATTTAAATTTGTTTGTTCTCCAGAATTAGTATAAGATCAGGAAACCAGTGTTCAGGCTGTGACTATGTTGTAGCTGAGGACTTGAGTCCACCCTGTCCCACTGACCTTCTAAACTTTGATTTGTTTCACTTGCTTGGCAGTGACTTTGCTTTCATCTGGCTGTTTGGTGTGAGCCACGTTTCCCTTCCTAGCAATCTATCTGGATGTAGGTCTTTTCACTAAGTAGTAAAGCATTCTAATTCTATTTAAAAGGAGGGAGGGGTGCTGTGTGTATAGCCATTAGCTTGAAAAAAACAAAACACTAAGCTTTTGCTATAAATCCAGTGATCATGCTTAGAACAAATGGATCCTGCCTTTTTGCATATGTTAGGCTTTACATTAATCAATTTCTGAGCCCTCAGAATAGGGTATTTATATAGTAGATGCAGAATCCCTGGTGCTTCAAGTCTGTACAAATGTTTTGACTCATCAGCTTCTACTCCTCCTTCCATTGCTGCCTTTCTCAAGCTTGTCTTATTCTATGTTTTGACTAATTTTAGAACATTTGCAGCTTTAAAAAAACAGGGTCTAAAAGTTTTAAATGTGCCTATCTCACAGCTCTCCCAGTCATAAAAACATGCTATTTTTTATTGGAAGTTTGAGCCAAAACCCCACTGAATGTGTGTTGGTTCCTGCAGTCCCCTATTGTTTTCCACAAAGCACCAAAATAGCTAATATTATTAGAAATTGTCTAAGCCTTTAAACAGGGGTGGGGAACCTTTTTTCTGCCAAGGGCCATTTGGATATTTATAACACCATTTGCAGGCCAAACAGAATTATCAACCTAAAAATTAGCCTGCTATATTTGGTCAAACATTTAATTAACTCACCCCTAATGCCTTGGCAGGGCCAGACCAAATGATAGCGTGGGCCTTATATGGGCCAGACTTTCCCCACCCCTGCTTTAAAGGCTACTGACAACAGGATCTAAAAAACAGCCCACTACTCAAGTCCTAGGATTCGCTTGTCCTCTGTGACTTGTGCTATTCGGGGACAACCTGTGCCTCTTGGGTTTCTCAAGTGCTGCTGAGAGCCATGTGCAAGCTCTCCCTTCCCAGGAACGTTTCAGCGGTGGTGTCAGCATCCACAGGAAAGCTAATTTGCCTTGGCTGGGTGTCTAACTGGAAGGAATAAAACCCACTTGGTTTAGTTAAATATCTTACTCTACTGTGCCTGTACTTTAAGCAATTATAGTTACTAAAGGAATAACAACAAAACATAATTTCTTAGCCAGAGACTTGATCACAGTGCTTCTCCAAACATCTTAGTCAGTTTAAACCCCAGGAAGACTTCAAGGCAGGGAAAATAATATTTTGAATAAGATTCTTATTAATACTTGAATTACAATCTGGCTACTGTCATCCATTATCAAATTCATCAATATAAACACAATTCAAGTACCCTTTTTTTTCTTTTTAGGACTTACAAAACTGGCAGGATTTGTGTCGTTTTTAATGTTTATGCATAAGAGCTGAGAAAGTTGATAGGATTTTAACTTAGGCAAAGGCTATAAACTAAGACCATGATAGAAACTGAAAGAAACTTTTACATTAGCTTTCTTAGTTTTAAAAGGAAGAGGCATCATTTCAGTTGTATTTCTGTTGTATTATTTTTCTCTCATATATTTTTCTTTTTGGTGAAAAAAAACAAAAAACCTCCCCAAAACTTGCCTCCCAGAAAACTCATTAGTGTGTCTCGTCTCCATGAAAAGACTAGGTGGTAAAACCTTAAGAGCTTGCCGCACAGTGTTCGTTTGTCCTGCCTATGTTTGTTCCTGTAGTGATGAAAATTGCAGTAGTTAACTTTTCATCATGGAAAAAATGCTAACATTATCATAACTATCTTCATCAATACCATTGGGCTTTGGTCTCCTCCAGGTTGTCTGTCTCTAATCCTTAGAGTCATTTGGCTCCCTTTTCTTCTCTGATGTCAGTTCCAATTATTTGGCATCAAAAGCCTTCATGGTAGGTAGAGCGTTGGGTAAAAATGGATCGAAGACTCTTTTCTCTCCTTGTTACTACTTTCTTATGTAACTGAATGGACGGAGATCCTTTGCTCCTATGTCCTCAGGCTAATTTGTGTCTAGTCTTGTGATGCCCTGCTTTCTACTAGCTGACTTTGAAATACAACATGTGAAAAGTAGACATTTGTTCATCTATTCCTTTGGCTACTAGAACTCTTCTGTAGTCCTTTTTACTTATACTGAATTACACTTCTGCTTCTCCTAAATAGGTCAAAGCACCCCATTTCTATATTACTAGGCTGTAGAACTGTTTCTCCCCATAGGTATAAAACTAAGTGTTTGGGATATTCAGGGAACCCACCCCAATATTATATTGCCATTTATTGGGAAGGGCTGGGATCATATGTATTTCTATGTTCTGTAAAGGATTTGACTTACTGGTTCTCAATAAAATTTTATTAGGACTATATATTGTCTTGAACTTTTTGTTTGATTTGGTTTATACTTAAGAATAGTGTCCTTCAGTGGTAAATGATGGCTTTTTCTCTATACACTCACCCCCTAATGTTTCTTCCTGACTTTTTCTTCATTGTTGGGTGAAACAAGATTTGCAGTACTTTCTGAAAATAGAGATATATTAGAGGAAAATATTTTTAAATCTGATCATTATAGAATTAGGAGGAAGGCATCTACTAGGCTTCAAGCAGGGCAGTGCATTATACATATGAGAATCCACCCTGTGGTTAATAACTAAAGGCATAATTCTAGAAATTGATTTCCCTGATGACAGTTCTGAAAGGAACTTGGAATAGAGAAGATGACATGAGGCATAATATAAACTGTCTGTGCAGAGGTTAGGAAGGAAGGAGTTTGCTGAATCACCTGGCATAACTGTCCCACTTATTTTCATGACACAGCCCTGTAGTGTCACTTAGCACAACAGAGACCTGCCAAATTATACAGTACTTGTTTTCATCCCTGAATGAGGTTTTGTCATTGGGTGCATATGATTAAAATGCCCTTCATATCCCTGGTCTATTGTATGAATGACTCATAATACTAAGGATAAATACACATTTTTATATCCCTCCTTTGATTGAATGAAGGTGTCGATGGCAGAGTCACATCTTTGATATGGGCAGTGAGGTGTGGAGAGGACAGAGGCTCAAAGAAGCCACCCAAAGATTCCTCAAGTGATGCCTGGAGCATCCCCGCTAACTCCCCGAGATGACAACTCAGTTGTTAAGGCCAGCTAGCACTGTTCTCTGGTTTACTGTGCCCCGGCTCATCTTCCCAGCAGAAGAAAAATAATGGCAAACACATTAGGTTGTACCACAGTTGTCATTTCATGAACAAACAAAACCTGAAGAAATAATTTGTCCCTGCTTCTTAACAATGGTAGTTTGATTTACGGTTTTCTAACTTTGCATTAGAAAGGCCTTTGTCTCCTTCCTTCTTCTCGTAGTCTCTGAATATAATAATATTTGTGTCATTCCTATTTCCCTAGATATTTTCCACTGTAGAGTCAGTGTTATTAAAAGTCTCATGAGTTCTTTGCTCTTACAAGCACCATTTAAACTGAGAAAAGCCTAATAGTCCCCTTATAATTTGCTTCCTCACTCTGTTTCTCATCCACACTCGCTGTCTTCCTTTTAAAGCTGGGGGTCAATAAACAAAGTGAAAGAACCTTGGCTTTTTACAATGGAGAACACGTTGGCTTCATCGGACTCATTATGTAAAATATTGAAACACTATTTTCCAGGAGCCCCGTGCTGGTGCATCCTCGGGGACTTATTTGACAATTTTGTGAGTAATGGGAGAGAACAGCAAACACAATAAACCAGGAGGCGAAATAATGAGAACAGAGAAATGGATCTTAGCAGGACCACTGCTCAGAGTCAGCCAGTTTAATTTCACATTCCTACATTATGTTAACGTTTCATCCACATGCAAACTACAATCCTGGTGACATGAACTCTGCAGCTAATGTTCTATCACTCTACAAATAAGTATTAGAGATGGCATCTGAGAGGTACACAGTCATTATGTAGGGAAGGCAAGATTCTTGACACATCCCTTTGTAAAGTAGTGTCACAGTTGCCTAATTTCTCTGATGGAGCTGGGATATTAAGAAAGGCATCTGTCACCCCCAAAATACTGATTTGGCTCATTGTGAAAGTTGGTGGTTCATATTGATCTCTCAGGATTCCACATTCAGGAATTAACACACACCCTTGCTGATATAATCCAAATAGCTGGCAGTCTGTTTATATGACGAAGACATGTCATTGTATTTAATCATGTCATGAGCAATGCTTTAAAACCATTGTGTCCCCGAAATTCACTGAATACATGCAGGTTTGTATGTAAGGTACCTGGTAGGCTTGGGGGGCACTGTGTGTGTGAGAGAGACACCCTACTCTGACAGCTTACAGTCTGGCAAAGAAGACAAGTGATAGATGAGCAATTGCAATAAAATATAGTCTAATATTCCTGTTACCTCCCCATACACACACTTTTCTTTGTTCCACAAATTTCCAGAATGCCCAGGTCTCTCATGTGATCTGTGGTTTCTAGCTAAATTTAGAGATACTGATTTAGAGATATTGGAGTTTATAATCCAGTAGGGAAAAGACACTTTAAAAGCCACTCAGCCATCCCAGAAGCACTTGGAGTTCTTTCATTTGGACCACCTTAAAGATGGGCGAGGTGGAAGGAAATTTCAGGACAAAAAGTCACTTACTCCCCAAATCATTCCCACTCAGTTGGTCAACTTCCCAAGAACTCCCAGCATTAGCATTATTAATAGTTTACATTAAATTCATTTCTTTTAGAAATCCTGTTAAAGTGCAAATATTTTTAAAGAGATATTTGCACTTTAAAATATCCCTTTAAAGAGATATTTAAAATATCCTACCTAATAAAAGAGAAACATGGTAATTAGCCATACATCCGCTACCCTTCCCATTGGCTAATCAGGGCGATATGCAAATTAACTGTCAGCCAAGATGGCGGCCGGCAGCCAGGCAGCTTGAAGCTAACATGAGGCTTGCTTGCTTCAGTGACGGAGGACTCCAACGTTCCCCGCCTGCCGCTGCCGGCCTCTGAGCTTGCAGTTTGAAACATTGTTACAAATATAGAAGCTAAACAAAACCCCAGAAACCTGCTTTCAGCCAGCCGGGATCTCAGAGCTGGAGTTGATACAATGTTTCGATTATAGAACCCAAACAAACCAGATACTTGCTTTCAGCAGCAGAGGCCTCAGAGCTGGAGCCAGAGCTAAAGCTGGCCCAGAATTTTAAAAAAAAAAAAAGAAGAAAAAAAGGAGCATTTGGGAGCTTCAGTCACCCACCAGCCTGAAAACAGCCCTCAGCCCCTCACCCAGACTGGCCAGGCACCCCAGTGGGACCCCCACACTGAAGGGTGTGTGACCAGCTGCAAACAGCCATCATCCCCTCATCCAGGCTGGCCAGGCACCCCAGTGGGGACCCCCACCCTGATCCACGACACCCTTCAGGGCAAACCAGCCGGCCCCCACCCGTGCACCAGGCCTCTATCCTATATAGTAAAAGGGTAATATGCCTCCCAGCACTGGGATCAGCATGACAGGGGGCAGTGCCCAAAACCCCTGATTGCCCTGTGGCTCTGTGTGTGACAGGGTGCGGCGCCCCAACCCCCTGATCGGCCCTGCTCTGTGTGTTACAGGGTGCGGCGCCCCAACCGCCCCCCCCCCCCACAGGCCCTGCTCTGTGTGTAATGGGGTAGAGCCATAACCTCCCCATCGGCCCTGCCCTGAGTGTGACAGTGGCGGTGCCCCAACCCCCTGATCCGCCCTGCTCTGTGTGTGACAGGGGGCGGTGCCCCAACTCCACTATTGGCCCTACTCTCTGAGTGACGGGGGGAGCTCCCCAACCCCCTGATTGACCCTGCTCTGTGCGTGACAGGGTACGGAGCCCCAACCCCCCTGATGGACCCTGCTCTGTGCGTGACAGGGGGCAGTGCCCCAACCCCCTGATTGGCCCTGCCCTGTGCATGACAGGGGGTGGTGCCACAACCTCCCCATCTACCCTGCCTTGAGTGTGACAGGGGGCGGTGCCCCAACCCCCCAATCGGCCCTACCCTGAGCGTGACTGAGGGTGGCATCACAACCTCCCAATCCGCCCTGCTCTGTACATGACAGGGGGTGGCGTCCCAACTCCCCAATCGGCCCTGCTCTGAGCCTGACCAGGGGCTGCACCTAGGGACTGGGCCTGCCCTCTGCCACCCGGGAGCAGGCCTAAGCCAGCAGGTCATTATCTCCCGAGGGGTCCCAGACTGCGGGAGGTTACAGGCCGGGCTGAGAGACCCCCTTTCCCCCCCGAGTGCACACATTTTTGTGCACTGGGCCTCTAGTCTCTTTATAAAATATCTATTAGTCATTAGCACCTTAATAACTGGTTCATGACTTACATAGCAACTTACTTGAAAAACTTCAACCCAAACAATGTTAACTGTGCTGCTAGAATATGCTAAGTACAGCATCTAGCTGGAATTAGGAAAAGGTAATACCTGCTCACAAAAGACTGTTTACATCTGGAGATAAATATAAACAGGTAATTTCGATGTGATATGGAACCTCACCAGGACTGGCTTTGCATGAGTAACGGAAAGAGGAAGAAGTGTATGAGAATTAAAAAGCACATCAAAAAAAGCATTAAAGGCAGGGCCTCTGAATTATGTGTACAACTGTGGATCTTATGAAAATGACTCTAAAATGCCAGTCCAATGGGGCCTGAGATCCCACGTTCCTAACAAGCTCCCAGATGATGCCATGCTGCTGTCCTCAGAGCTTTCTTTGAGTAGGAGGGACTAGATAAAGCAATCCAGCATGGGATCCTGACTCAGTAGAGAAGAAGGAAGGAAGGAAGGAAGGAAGGAAGGAAGGAAGGAAGGAAGGAAGGAAGGAAGGAAGGAAGGAAGGAAAGGAATCAGCTGATAAAGTCAAGACTTGATAGATGAATGTGAATCACTAGGAGCAAGTGCATGACAACGCTGGAAAGACTAGTGTCTGATTTCTGATGGAGACACAATGTCAAGGCAATACGGTCTTGAGGTGACCAATTTTCTGTGGTGGTGATTGTAGCAAGTGAAAGAAATGGACTTGGAACAAATATGTATTTATAATTTTAATGGGGGAATAGCCAAAGATTTAGAACCTTTCTCAATTCGAAGACTCATAAGCTTCTGATAACATGAGAATCATATGGACGAGAGCTATGTTAAAGAATTAATTTGAGTCATCTGGAATCAAGGCCTGTATGAGGAAAATTAGACCCCTCTGCCCCCTGTTTAGAATTTATGAGACATTATTAGCCAGCCAACTTCTTAAAGGTTTTGTTAAAACTCAAAAGCAGGTCAATCTCATTCCTTTTTCCAATTTTTTTCTTAGCATGTTCCGAGCAGTAAATGTACACTAGCAGTCTCATTTTT